GCAAAGATTAGAGAAACCGAGGAATTGAGGATGGAGATGCGGAAGGAGATGAGGATGGAGGCTGCATTAGTCGCGAGTGAACTACGAGAAAAGATATCCGGAGGTTTCTGTGAACAATTGACGGACGAGATGCTCAAGGCGCTCGCAACAGCATCCATCGATCGGAAAGGGAAGAAGAAGGTAGCATCGCCACCGTCTCCAGGACCGTCGACTACAAGTGGCAATGAATCGGGCGACGCGACACCATTGAACCGACGTACTTGGATATTGACGCTTAAGGAGAAGCGTAAGAGAAGCACCAAGAAAACGGTGGGCAATAGCCCACCGATGATGCAATCAGCGAAGAGAACGCCGCGGGCGACCGGAGTGAAACCCGTGCGACTCGCAGCGAAGTTACAACGCACGACACCAAAGACGAAGACGAACAAGACTCCGCCAAGATTTACACCGAGAAGGAGTACTTCAGGAACGAAGATCGCTGCCACGGCGGGATCGGCGGGAAAAGCGCAGTTCATTTGTGAGAACATCCGCGCACTAGCGGATCTGGGTGCCGAAGATCTCAAGGAGATTTGTCGGAAGGAGGACGTGGATTACGAGAAGAAGACAATTGTGGCCATGAACATCGCAAAGAAGAGATCAATGGTGGCGTATGAAAGTGAAGAGGAGGAGGTTGGCAGTAGTGATTACGAGACGGAAGGGATTGAGCAGGGAAGTGCGGACGAACAAGTCAAAGAAGAACCAAGGCATGAAGTTTTGATGATACGAATTGTCTGTGGACTCTATGCAATTGTCCGGTGGAATATCGTCAGGGAAGGACTTTTGATACACGAGTGGAAAAACTTTACCGACTGACAGTTATGTTGCTTACTCTGGCGGGTGAGATACGATGGTTGACGAAATGCATCGACTCGTGGGTACGGATGTATGAGGAAGAGGGGATCAGTTTTATTGAGGGTACGAACGTAGTCTATACGTTAATCTCGCCTCGCTGCAAGGCTCAGTACGTCGGACAAACCAGCAGGCACGTTAACGTACGTTGGCGTGAACATACGTCACGTTGCGACTGAAGGAGTAAGGATACTCACTTATATCGTTGGTGGCGGAGTTTTGGATGGGAGTCATACGTACTAGTGCCCTTGGCTACCTGCGCCGAGGATAAACTGCTCGCATACGAGCAAGTTTATATACACAAATGGAATCCTTCGTTAAATACGAACGGAGTTCGTAGGAGGAGGAAGCGTCGCAACGCGAAGCGTATGGGGAAAAGTGAGTGGGAAAGGATTCAAGGGGAGGAGGGAGTGACGCGGAAAGGCGGGTACGTCAGACCGGTGGGGATTATATGTGAGGGATTCACGGAGGAGAAGCTCGATATTGTCAACACACTCGCAAAACTGGAGAAAAGGGGTGTGCGTAAGTTTAAACTGACATCCACCGGGGGTATCTGCTGGTTAGATGGGTGGAAGAAGATTAGGAAGGCCTTTGGAACGTCGACCGTCACATGCGAAAGTGGGACGATGACGCTGGCAAAATGTAAGCAGTATTTGGAGCAGGGTGGATGTRTGACGGTAAGATATCTGCGACGATGGCATAGTCGGAGTAAGATTCGGAAGCAAGAGCTTATCAAAACATTGCGTGATCCCATGCGGATTAGTGACTTGAAGCACCGAGACACAGAGGAGTTGTTCCGTTTGTATCTGAGAAGAGTAATCGGAAGGGTGATCAAGGATGTTTCAGGTTGGATCATGGGGGCAAACATTAATGTTAAACTGAAGTTTGACGATYGTGTGAAGTTGGTGGAGGTTSGGAAGGTGGTCAACGACAAGATTGGGGAACAAGCGCTGCCATCATGCATGATGAAGCGAGCACGTAGCAAGGTGAGGATCATTTGGACAAKCAATCCATYGGTCGCCGACTTGTTACATAATCAACGGACGTATGCGCGTGCAGACGTCTGTACCTGCACGTGTGCAGGATTACCCTATCGAAGGATAAGAGAACATGTGCGATTCAGACTGCGTGATATGGACGGTGTACACCCGATGCTGTGCAACGYGAAGAATATACCGAGGGCATCACATCCGGATCGAAGTACGCTGTTGAGACGCGAGATTGAAGAAGCTTTCAACAAGTGGCCGAATYGAGGATCGAAGACGTGTGTCACGACAGTTGAGGATRTAAGCAATTGTTTGATTAGAACGGTGGCGCAACCCGAGAAGTACCTGCAGATGGGAACGGTCAACGCGCTGAAAAACCAACTGACTGGGTTGGTATGTACCCCACTGRATAGGAATCCGGGCGAGACCCTCGTGATCTGCCCGGCCCTGTACCATGAGGCGATGCTCTCCACCTTTGTATGCAACAGCGGTTACAAGATCATGGAGACAACCGAGGAGGTGATCGCCGAGAAGATGAGTAGGGAGGTGACAGAAGCCGGGCTGAAGAACTTCGTTAAAATCGACAAGAAAGGAACATTCGGTTGCGCTTACGTTCATCCGAAGCACAAGGATCTGGATAGATACCTACCAATTTGTCCATCCTACAGCGAGCCGACTGTTAAAACCTCGAGGGCGGCAGCCAAGGCTTTGAACCATCTACTATATGCATTAGCAACGAAATGGCACTTCAATCTAAAGTCAGTGACGGACCTGGTACCAAGAATCGAGAAGATCAACAAGCAGATCCAACGATTTCCAAGGCAGGATCTGCAAATATCCATGATGTCATATGACATCAAGGATATGTTTAGCAAGCTACCACACACGGACATCATGGAAGCAGTCGATTGGATCGTCGATCATTTTCAGAGTAGAGGAAAGAAGTCAGTACGAGTGAACACTAGAGGACGTGGGAGCTCTTTCGGGCGTACCACTAGAGCTGATCACTGGAGGAAAATCGAGCTGGAGGACTTGAGGCGTTTTGTAGGTTTGGATCTTCAGCACACCTATATCAAGGCGACTGGCGTGCTCTTGAAACAGGTGGTTGGAATTCCCATGGGGAAAAGTACCAGCCCACCGCTGGCGTGCATCATGTGTGCACACGCTGAGTTCAAATTTCTTTGTGAACAAAGGAGTCATCGGGCCAACATCTTCGGGATCCGGCTGATTGACGACGTGAGTGTCGCTATCGCAACCAAGAAGAAGGACAGGAGGATTAGTGAGCAGATTCGTGCAGATTTTGAGAAATGCTACCCAAGGAACCTTACGCTGAAGCGCACGGACGGAGGGAAAAAGAACTGGGATTTCCTCGGATTGGAAATGCGGCAACAGGACGTGATGCCATTCCTCTCCTGTGTACAACTCTCGAAGAACGAAAAGACAGTATGGACGGAAGAAAGATTGAAATTCAAAATCGGACAGGAATACCACTCGTGGGGGAGTAAACGGCAGAAAAGTGCAGTGATCGCAAGTCGACTGCACAAAATTGAGAGGAACACGACTGTGCGCAGCGAGTTACTAGACAAAGTGCTGACTCTGTCCAGGGAACTGAGGATGATGGATTTCCCTCAGGAGTTTTTCCTGCGTGTTCTGAAAAGTTTCTCAAAAGGCAGAGATGCAATTTGGGGCCACATTGCTACATGGTTAACTGGGTAACCATTGGAGTTCTTTAGAAACTGGTAGTGATGGGGAAGTGAGTGGTAGTTTGTCTGCAGCGTCCAGGTAATGGTCTGTGGATTGGTAGAGTACTGGGCAATGTATGTAATATGAGTGTATGGAACCTATGTAGGATTCTGAGAACGTAGGCGGCAGGGCGTGTACAGTAGCATGTTAACTTGATTGTGTACTTTGGAGCGCATTAGCATAGGACATAGTGATAGGGCTTTGCTGCTGCATGGATTTGTGTGGTGTGACCGCAGCATGGAAATGGAATGTGTATTTTTGACGAATGTTACCTAAGGACATAGTGATAGGGGTCTCATTACCACAGGGTATTGGTGTGATGTTGGTTTGTCAAGTTCTACCTGCAGTTTGGAGCACTAGGGCATGGTTTGGGTGTGGGGTTAACTGCATGGTGTGGTGTGGTGTGTTTTGTCGGGTTCTGACACCGTTTTTAGGCTAAGGGTCTCGAATTTGAACAGGAACAGGGTCAGCAGGTAGGCTATCTTCATTGCCCCTGGGGCACTGCTCCGGACCGTTTTCCTGGTAGCGGTCGCGAGACTGGGTCTATATCAACAATAGGCGGTAGTTTGTCGGTGTTTTCCGGGTCCTACGTCGCTGACACTCCGGCATTTCCGAAAATGTTCGGAAGTGGACGCGACCGCGGGGGAGTGTGGAACGAAGGACTAAGTGTGAGGGAGAAGCTGAGGTGGTGAAAGCCCCCGAAGACGACCGCGTGGCGGGTCGAAACCGGTCGGGGTAGTCATACCCACCGGCGTATGTGCTGTTTTTGTTGATTTGATTTGAATACATCGATAGTTGGCAACTTCGGCGTTTGTCGTTGTATTGGTTTGTGACGTGTATGTTTTTCATCATCCGTCACTTCACTCTTTTTCATACCGGACGTACGGGACCCCCCTGACTGTCCGCCCATGACGTCCTGCCACTGGACAACTGGTAACATAGACTTTTTGGCCATAAAGTACAGTCCATCGTTGAACCATGCGATTTCAGAGTCTTGTTGAGAGCGGTGGTCGTTCTTGAAGTCCCAAACATGTTGAAGGTATTTCTGGAAGGATTTGAACCGAAGTAGGGAGGTATTGAGTTTATAGTAGCTAGCCCCCTGGTCTAGTCGTTTGCGAAATGTCCAAACTGCCACACACATCCTGTGGTTCAAACGTGGGTATGGGCTGGTCGGCAACGTTGCTGCCACAGTGAGCACCCCTCCCCAAATCCTCTGACGCCAAGATTAAATCGATCTGAGATTTAGACAGTCTGACGGAGTCATTGTTTTGAAAATAGGTAAATGCCTTTTCAGTCGGGGAGCTGTATCTCAAGGTGTCGAATAGCAAGAGGCGAGCTCACAAATCCCTCAGCATCCGCTCATCCTCCTCTGTGTTGTGTGCGGTAGTGGGGTCACCCCGTGGACTTTCCATTGGTCCAACCATCTGTCCAGTACGACATTGAAATCTCCTGCTAGGATTATCAGAATATCTGAGGTGGGGACCGTTTCAATTTTTTCGAAAAAGGGCCTTCTCTCACAGGATGTGTTAGGGGCATATAAGGATATAATGCACACCACTTTTAGTTTAAGCATACGCAACACCTTAACCCATCGTCCATTCTCCTTATCCTTGTCCCAGCTAAATACTTCTAAGCGCGATTCGGGAGGGATTCATATTGCCACCTCGACGCTCCTCGGGCTGAGGGCAAAGGCTTGGTAGCCTTGAAAAGGTTAAACTTGCTTGTGAGCCCTGTGGTGCTCTGGTGTATCCATTAGGTGGGTTTCCTGAACGCAAACTACCTCCGACCATATTCTTCCCTATTGTTGGGTGTCTAGAAGCGTGTTATGTGTGTGCCATTGTAGCCTTTCTTCCTTGTTGTCTTCGAATCTCACATTGAGATCCTTATAGGCCATCTTCAGAATCTGTGATGACTCGCTGATGGTGGCCATTGCCCCCGGTTCGCAATGGTTTGTAATAAAATCCATGACCTTGGGGACCCGTAATGCCCCTTACCTCTGCATGTATCAACCATGCAGTGTCATTCCTCCATAGGCTGGGGGCATATGGGTCCTCTGAGTCAGCAGGTGACAGACCTAGTTCCCAATTTCTTATCTTCCTCCTGATCGGAAGCACCAGCACTTCCGAGTCGTCCCCCTGCGACAAACTTTTGTGGTACAGCCCTTTCTCGATGAGGTGACGCATTTTTGACCGCTTTGGAAGTCCTGTTTCCTCTGCTGCTTTTGTAGCCTCGTCCTCTCCCTGGTCGGTTTGTTCAGTGTGCATGGTCGGTTGTGTATGATCAGGGGGGTGGGGAGGGGGGTTGCCTA